TCCACGAGGTTCAACGCTAAACACTCAACAAGTCATGTACTGTAGTAAAACCGTATCTCTGAGGGGCACGTGTTTCTTTCACGTTYTCTCCCTGGATTTTTCCATTAGCAAGGTACTTTTTGCCCATCTGTTCCTGCGCCCATGTCAACACCTTATCCATGTATGGAGTTGCCACACCTAGTATTTCAGCTATGCCACGGATCACCACAAGGCCATAGGGCATGTCTTCGGTCATATATCGATAACTAAAGTCAGGCAGCCATTTTCCATCAGGTGTTTGTCGGACAGGATGGAATAATTCTGCGTACGCCTTGTTGGTTTTAATGATGGTATAAAGAGAGGTGACGTCTTCTGCTTCACTGCTGTAGCATCTCTTGTACCAATCAAACACGTGCTCTGTTCTCGATAAATCAGTCTCAGGACTTTGTTTTYCAATAGCTTTAGCAATGGCCATAACTTCATCTGAAACACGAGACAAAAGCACTGCTCCATCTTGACTTATTCCATGATAAAATGGMGGTTTTTCRCTTACTGGTCTACCATCCCAGTCGGCCCATCGGTCATACAGTATGGTGGTATGGATGTATGCATTTACCGACATCAGAGTSGCTGTCAGTAAGTGACCTTCAGTTGTTARTAACGGYTTYTCACCGATCAGCCTTTGTACTATGGTACGAGGATCATGCTTAGGTGTGGCTGAACCGATTTTCAAAGCGCCCATCATGCAAGATTTAGTTCCTAGTATATCACATGACCTACCAAACTCCTTCAGACGTGCAGCCCATGGCAACGATTCGTAATTTATGCATGTAATCTGATTGGCTATGTCACCAAGAATCATTTTCTGTTGAAATTCAAACCCAGCTTCTCCAGGRAGTCCAACAAGAATCATCTTTGGCTGTACGTATGGCTTAATTGCYTGTAAGTACTGCTCATGCGCAACAGCTGGMAGCACAAATGCTATGATGTCACATCCGGGAATGGCTTTYCCAGGATCCTCGGTTACAAATCGTGGTATTGCTTTGATTTCGTCGCATTTTTCTCGTTGATAGAATCGTGTGATAGTTAAATCACCGTTTTYCAGTGCTTTTGACCATCGTTGCGCCTCATCACCGTACAGAGTGAGAACTCTGACTTCAACTCTGGGTAGAGATGACSCAATTCCTGCTAGAGCATGCGCACCATTGCCACCACCACAAATCACTAACGTGACGTCATCTGASAATTCGGCCATCTCTGTTTAGATGAATTAGAAGTGTTAATATTAATTAATCCCCAGGAATATCCCTGAATAATTACTGTTCACTGAATAATCTCATTCGGCGGCCATGCTGGAGGAATGGGAACAATAGCAATGAGAAATCGTTTTGTTAAGGTTCCTCTAAGATGGCCCGCGCTTCACGACGTATAGTGAAAACGGTGAGTTAGTAATTTGAATGATCGATAACCAAAATATTTGATCTTTTTTGAGCTAATGATAGCGATAATTGCAGGTCAAAATAGCTCAAAATGGNTTTAGTATTAAACTTAACATATTTCACAAAATTACTAACAACAATTGCTTGAGAGAAAGAAAAGAAACACTGAGCCGCACGCTTTTCTTATGATATCGCACCCGTACAAAATCATAGGCCACACGACTATTGCTTGATAGAAAGAAAAGAAACAGCGCGCACGCTTTTTATTATGCAAAATCATAGGCCACACGACTATTGGTGTCCTCGTGTTGCCTTGTGGGATCAGAAAGCAGACGCCGTAATACCACAGGTAATCCGCATTTTGCTAAGTGCGAGCTCCAATAACAAAAGCGGGCAGAATTCGTTCTTTTCTTTGCAATAGTTGTGTGGCCTATGATTTTGTACGTGTTTTTATCCGCTGAATAAAGATTCATGACGCGAAGCTCGTCCTTCGCCCAGGATGAATGATCCTCCATTTATAAATTAAGAAAAGGAATATATTTTCGTGATCTCTTGGCGAAAGATGTTGGGAGAACAGGAAAAAAGGCGTAGAATATCGATCGCGTGGTCCTTTATARAATATTAGAGTAAAAGCGTGAAACACAATTCACTAAATTGTGCAAAATAGTGCAGCTTTACAAAAGAAAACAAAAGAATTTAATAGCATAATTAATTTCACGCTCGCTTCTTGCGTCTGCATGAAGAAGTCAAATTTTCTTATCTATTCTCTTAGAATTCACAACAATTTCGTTGTTTAGAAATCAAGAAATATATAGTATATCCTGCTCTAAAACTAAAGAGTACCAAACGTGCATTGAATTTCCTTGTGGMTGAAAGTTTCAACTTTGCTTGGCTGTTGCTCAAGAGCCTAAGACMTTTGTTGTACTCACCGTCAACTAAATCTCTGTTTTCCGAGTCCAATCCTGTTCTTAATTTTCGTCTAATTGCGTGCAGGCACAACACAAAYAGTACCGTTTCAAAGTGTTTTTATAAGCTAAAAAATGCACAACATGTAGTGCACTACTTTAAAGGGTGAAAAGAGTTAGTCTTCAGTGAATTCACTGAGGTGAGACTGCGTGATTCATMGTGACTTTCAAATCAACCGAGCCTCCCAGCTCATTATAAATTCTGCATTAGCAAAAGAAGGCGTGAGTGTCATCCCTTGTGACGTAGCACTTCGAAAATTTTGAGGCATCGTGGTCTWGTGCAAACGGTTCGTCTAAACCTTGAGGAATTTTACAGCTACAGGTAAAGTAAAACCTCCCCATACCGTCAGTTATAATAAATAAACATATTTAGATCAAATTGGCGATAAAAACAAGGTTAATTTAGAATCCAAAGCGAAAAGTTCAGTTTCATAGCCAACTCGCCTTGAGTCGGAATGGTCAGATTGGAGCTCTCAAAAAGCATAATTGGTGACTCAATTTAGACTTTACTTGGGCCAAAACAATACATAATTCCTTCCTTGGTTTTGGTTTACAGTTTAAGCTGCCTTTATAATAAAACAGGCAGGTTTTTTTTCTGAATCTTAACTGACTCCACTCGACTTCTACATCTTAGTTAGCTGTACCGGTAGTTGCACCAGAGCTTTTGGTGTATAAAGATTTACTTATAACTTAATGAATTTCAATCGAATTTTCGTCTAAATGGCGAAGTCTCAATTCTAAATATCAAAGTAGATGTAAAATTCTTGTGAAAATCTGTGACATAAGACGATGTGAAATTTCACTCGAGCACACATTTTGGACATTTGAATTCCTCAGATTTCGTCTCGTTTTACAAACACTTGTTCCAGTTTACAGTAATKAGTGTTGATCGTGTTTTTTACGTGTTAAAACTGTATTTTCCCGGTCGAAAAGTACAAAATAAATGAAGCAATTTCGCTTCTTAGATTTGAAAGCTTCAATTTACATAAACTTAATCGCTTCAGCAACGCGCTTCAGCTTGTCTCCAGTCGGTAGAATAAATAAAATCTGTTCTTGCGTTTGTAGTCGATCAGCAAGTTGAGAGCAGTTTTTAAAAATTTATGTGAACAATGCATGTTTTTTAATTGTAAAAATGAGTCTCTTCATCTCTCTGCTGATAGTGAGCACTGAGCAAACTGCAAAGATCCCATTGACTAAACTCTGTGTAAGTCAGGCCTGGTTCAAACGTCATGTGACTATCGCGCTGAACCAAATGCCATGGTAGTCAGTTGGTGTCAACCCAAATACATTTGGTATGGTGTGGATTCATACTGTATGTCAAACCAAATTCAGCCCAAATCATAAGAAAAGGTTCAATAACACGTAATTTACATCCATTATTTTTGTCGAAAACAGATATTTTTGTGTGGTTAAGTATGGCATGACGAAAGCTTGACATTTGAATCAGTACTAAGCTTTTGCCGTGCAGCAAGTATGATGCTGTCATGCCACGGCCCTCCTATAGACGCACCGAACTTAATTGACTTATGCGTCAAGCTATTGATGTACTAAATTCAAACTATTGGTTTGGCATKACTGGCTCGATGTATGAATTGGGCCTCATTTCTTATATCTACTTGGCAGATTAAGAGATAACACTTTAAAAATTACTTAGTATTTGATGAGTTTTAATCATGCGCAATAATTGTGCATACATGTGTCAATTATTGACACAATTGCATCATTTACTGATTATCTTGAAAACCCACTTCATTTCTACTATAATAACAATTTAATTTATTCTACCTCCCAAAACCAACAACAAATATTATTTGCTAACTGTCCTTGACTTTAAGTGGTAAGGACAACACAATGCACAACTTTTACCAGTAAACACCTGTTGGGTTTCATCGTTCAACACTAACATTAAATTAYCAAAAGTAAACAAGTTATGTAGTGCAAGTGTATCCATAGCCATAGGCTGCCCAACTATTTTGCTTGAGAAAAACAGAACCAGCCTACACTTTTATTTATCGATACACGCTGGTTTTATGTCACGAACCCAAGCCTCACGGGATACAAACTAGTCYGTGACAAGGTATGAAACACTGGTCACTTGATGGACCAATATGTGCACCACGGGGCAGCTGGGTACAAAAACCGAAACCAAGCAGGCCAGAAATAGTCGAATAGTCTTGGAGAATCCGGACCATCTTTCTAGCTTTTTTTAATCAAGTTTAAAACTCTATATGTRTGTATGTATTTTTTTTAATTGAAAAAATACTATAATAAGAAAAAAAATTTAAATAGACATTTAAAAACAGGGAAATAAATGGATGCTTGTGTTCCCTCTTAATATTTTAGTAATTACAACAGTGTACAGCTTAACAGCATGCAATTTTCATTRATAAAAGGTCTATTAAATTCAAGTTTAAAAATTATACAATTATATAAACAAATGACAAATGTAAAGGCAAACAAATTGATAAAAAGCTCTTTTTCAGAAGAGACCATTGAAAAAAATACCAAATTATTTTGACATAGAGATATCTGCAAGTAAATCATTTAAATTTTATTATATCCATAAAATTGTATGATATACTTTTTGTCATTTCTTTGGTAAGTTTGCTGGTCTTGTGTGTCTTTGCAAAACTTTGTAAAGCTGAAAACTTACCAAAGAAATGACAAAAAGTATATCATACAATTTTATGGATATAATAAAATTTAAATGATTTACTTGCAGATATCTCTATGTCAAAATAATTTGGTATTTGAGTTTTCAGCTTTACAAAGTTTTGCAAAGACACAGAGTCTTTTATCTTCTCCTCTTAATACTTCCAATCATCGTTTTTTTTCTCAGTAGAACTCTGTTCACATTTCTTAGATGAGACATTGTAGTTTTAGAGCCTGCATAAGTTAGTATAGTTCGCTTTTGATAAGATAGGTAGCCTGTTTCATAGACAATTATTCTCAATTAGACTCGATCGATAGACAATAAGATAAATTTCACAATAAGTTTCACAATAAATTTGTGGTATCTCTCCAAATGCCCTTTCGAAAAATGCTCTGCATATTTAAGTGTAGCTATACCATGAATGTGTGGATTTGTAAGTGATCTGTGCATGTTCGTAGTATTTGAATCCATGTCTTCTTCATGTCCCATGTCTTGGGCTAACTATGCGAAATTTTTTTATCCAAATATGRCGAAGAAAAAGAAAGCCGAAACTTAAACCTGGGATTCCTTTGGAACCCCCAAGTAATTAATATAAGAACAAAGTGTAACGAATAATCGTCAGAATAAATTTGCATAATATGGAAAATTTGCACTCACCTGAGGTTTCTTGTACACCAAGATAYTACCCAAAAATAAGAGAGAATAATCATAAAATGCAATATTGTTTTTGGGACAGCTCTCCAGAGTTCATTTGCCATTAAAGTTTTAAATATAAATTGCTTCTTTGTAATTAATGATTGGAATTCATTGTTGACCATAGTAGTTTTAGTGCTGTTCCCTTAGTACCAGTCACTTTATGGTATTTTTTTTTTTTTTGGTAGCAGTGTTGTTAAATGTTCTGTTGGATTATATKTCTTTCAGTCATGAGCTCAGGAATTGAAGTGGATTCACTTTGCATGGACATCTTTGAAGAAATGAAGATCACAAAAAAAGATAGACSCCAAACCAGAAAGATGGCACTTTTTAGGATTAGCAAGGACTGTACAAAAGTYGTATCTGATGATTCTCCCATTGAAGGACTAGAGCAATCACGTCAACCAKCTGATGATGYGGCAATGTTTGACAAGTTGAAAGAAATACTGAATAATACTAAAGATGGAAAGGGTAGCCACATCCCAATGTATGTGTTGTTTGACTTTATATTTAACTCATCTACAGGAAGTCATAAAGAAAAGTTGGCTTTTATTGCATGGTAAGTGCCTAATATATCACACCATAAAATGTCAAAAACAAATTGTGCATAAAAATGTGATAAAATCATTTTGTCTTGTTTTATGGCTTTTGTTCAACATGCATGTAATGAATGCAATGAGTTATTCTAACATGTTATATAAAGGGTAGCTTAAATTTTTCATTTAAGTAATTGAGTTATCTGCTAAAGAAAAGAACATAATTKAGTTATCTGCTAAAGAAAAGAACAATTAAATATCAATTTGATATGACATCCAAATATCAATTGACAAACAGCAATGAATTTAGGGCGGCCTGGATAGTACGACAGACATTATTGATAATTATAGCACAGTTTTATTATGAAGGTACAATTAGACTGTTTGTCTCTGAAAATTCAACGTTATCTAGTGATATTTTTTTTGTGTAAAAATGTGGTAACAATCGTAAGCTTTACATACCAAGTTAAGCAAAAAAGAAGATTTAAGGAAACATGTAAATTCAGGCATGTCGGAATTATGCGTGGATGTGGACGCACATAATTGCCCCCTTTCCGCATAATTTACCAAATTGTGCATAATTCACAATTTTTTCCATGTTATACCATTTTTTAAGATGAACTGCCTTCTACTAATGTTTTTGTGGTCCCTTGACTGTTTTTTGATAAAAAAACGCTCCCAAACATGCTTATAATTTTCTGAATATAGTTTTGTTTTCGTGGGCTTCACAAATGTACCAGGCGTTCAAAATTTCATCAGAAATGAGTTTGGGCACCAGCATTACTGGTCACCCTGTGCCTTACCAGATCACGTGACAAATTCCAATAAGGTGTATGATACAAGTGAGACCTCAAGCGTGCGAGAACAAAAAAGTCTAAAAAGATCTTTCCTTCTGTTGGTACTGCCTTCTGTACTTGGTAACTAAGATAAAAACATAGTTTTGCATGAAAAACAAACACAATTACCTAAAAATACGTAAAATTTCCCAAAGTTTGCGTTCCTGTGATGACGTCATCCCGCATAATTTTCTGCATAATTTACCCTTTTCTCTGCATAATATGGGGAAAAAATTCCAATAGACCTAATCGGCTAACAGCTGTGCTATGTACATTGTCACCCAATTCAGATCCCGTGGGAAAAATAACTTTTGTTTCTAAGAATTCAACTGTGAAATGAAAATGCAACGAACAATGAAACTTACTCCCGGGTGGTTTGAATTGGGTTGAAGCCGATTAGGTCTATTGCATTGTTTTCTTTGGTGTCTATTTGACTATCATAGTTTAAAAGACATAAGAACAGGAATATGCAGAGATATGTATGCCATTGGAGAGCTTAAGCATGACGTTCACAGCAAACAGCAGAAAAGACCGTGTGACCTGCCTTTTGGGGGTATACTGTTGCAGTTTCGACATGAGAGTTGGTTTTTTGGGGTTGCCACAATCGTGAAAAGTCGCTCTTTCAAATGACTACCAAAAGCACAAGGTCAGGCACGAAATTCTTGGGTCATTCGTTCAACTCTGCTGTTAGCCGTTGGCTGTAAATGTGATGCTTAAACTCTCTATTATGTCCTTGAAGACATCCTAAATGTTCATTATTGTGTTTCCATGATTAGAACATGTAATAAAGTCAAGAATNAGAACATAATTTAGTTATCTGCTAAAGAAAAGAACAATTAAATATCAATTTGATATCACATCCAAATATCAATTGACAAACAGCAATGAATTTAGGGCGGCCTGGATAGTACGACAGACATTATTGATAATTATAGCGCAGTTTTATTATGAAGGTACAATTAGACTGTTTGTCTCTGAAAATTCAACGTTATCTAGTGATATTTTTTTGTGTAAAAATGTGGTAACAATCGTAATCTTTACCTATCAAGTTAAGCAAAAAAAAAGATGTAAGGAAACATGTAAATTCGGGCATGTCGGAATTATGCGTGGATGGGGACGCACATAATTGCCCCCTTTCTGCATAATTTACCAAATCGTGCATAATTCACAATTTTTTCCATGTTATACCATTTTTTAAGATGAATTGCCTTCTACTAATGTTTTTGTGGTCCCTTGACTGTTTTTTGTTCAAAAAACGCTCCCAAACATGCTTAGTACAAGGCAATTCATCTTAAAAAATGGTATAACATGGGAAAAAATCATGAATTATGCGGGATTATGCGTGATTTGGTAAATTATGCGGAAAGGGGGGAATTATCCGCGTCCGCATCCACGCATAATTCCGACATGCCTAAATATGGTGTATGATACAAGTGAGACCTCAAGCGTGCGAGAACGAAAAAGTCTAAAAAGATCTTTCCTTCTGTTGGTACTGCCTTCTGTACTTCGTAACTAAAATAAAAACAGAGTTTTGCATGAAAAACAAAGACAATTACCTAAAAATATGTAAAATTTCCCAAAGTTTACGTTCCTGTGATGACGTCATCCCGCATAATTTTCTGCATAATTTACCCTTTTCTCCGCATAATATTGGGAAAAAAATTCCGCATAATTTTGATTTTTTTTGCACATAATTCCGACATGCCTGTAAAGTGTAAGAATTTTAATGATGAATCTTATCTTCTTATTACATTACTTTTAGTAGAATCTATTATTTTAATTAATCATGGTTAACGGTTAACTGTACCAGAGGATGATAGATTTTTTACAGATGTTGCCGGTCCGTAGATGTTGCACAATATCTTGTTACTGTGCATGTAATGCTGCTAGTTTTGTTTGATAATTAGGGGTTACTCAAAATATTAATATTTTACTGAAAAAAGGCAATTTAGTCTTGTCTCAGTACAAAAACGAGGACATAACTAAACATAAGAAACCCTAAATAGTCACAAAATTAGCATTTCAGAAACGTTAATTTATTTGTATATTTTAAAAATTAAATATTTGAACATGAGTGTGATTTTTCAAAAATATGTAACTGGGAATGAGATTTTGACAAAAAATAGACTGGGAAATGGGATAAGAACCCCTCCACTTCAGAACCCTCTTAAATTGATGATAGATCTAAATTAATGAATGAATGGCAGACTGTAATAAATTATAAAAACATAATAGAAAAAAAATTATGAAATATAATAGATAAATACGAGGTGTCTGTTTGGGTTCTGTTTTATGAATAGCGTTCATAATATTACGGAACTCACTAAGTGTTTTAAATCCACAACTCTAATATAATAGAAACTACTGAGGGATCATCCATTTGTCTTTTTTAATTTACTAAAGAACAGACATGGTCCATTTTTGACAAAATTTTTTCAATAATATGTATTAATCAGAATAAAGTGAAGTGAAAAAGATATTACACAAGGTCACCTTAGTGTGCTCCAATAGACCTAATCGGCTAACAGCTGTGCTATGTACGTTGTCACCCAAATCAAATTCCGTGGGAAAAACTTTTGTTTCTAAGAATTCAACTGTGAAATGAAAATACATTGAACAATGAAACTTACTCCCAGGTGGTTTGAATTCGGTTGAAGCCGATTAGGTCTGTTGCATTGTTTTCTTTGGTGTCTATTTGACTATCATAGTTAAAGAGACATAAGAACAGGAATATGCAGAGATATGTATGCCATTGGAGAGCTTAAGCATGACGTTCACAGCAAACAGAAGAAAAGACCGTGTGACCTGCCTTTTGGGGGTATACTGTTGCAGTTTCGACACGAGAGTTGTTTTTTTTGGGGTTGCCACAAGTGTGAAAAGTCCCTCTTTCAAATGACTACCAAAAGCACAAGGTCAGGCACGAAATTCTTGGGTCATTCGTTCAACTCTGCTGTTAGCCGTTGGCTGTAAATGTGATGCTTAAACTCTCTATCATGTCCTTGAAGACATACCTAAATGTTCATTATTGTGTTTCCATGATTAGAACATGTAATAAAGTCAAGAATTAAATTGTAAACAAAGAAAATATATCACATTGTGCAAAAAGTGAAAATGAAACAGGAGCTTGAAATTATTATAGCTATTCATTCAAGATTAATTTATAATTAATTTCATAAAAGGGATGTCAAGTTGTTTTCAAGATGTTTATGTAACTATAATTAAAAATGTCAGTAGTAGTCACAGACACAATAGAATCATGTACATTGGAWATAACCATTTAGCAGTTTGTCTGGCACAACTAACTTACAACTAGCATGAGAATCTTAATGTTTTCAAAATCTTAATGTTTTTTGCCTAATAATCCTTACTATTAGAGGAATATGATAATTTTTTAATTTATCTTATATAACGCAATAGATAGTTCATCAAGTTATGTTTGTTAGCACTCAGAATGTTTGCAGACAACTGTTATAAAATTTCAATTCATYCCCCACCAAAATTCCCAGCTTACCACTTTATAATATATGAGTTGTAATTATTTTCATTCTAGGTGCCCAGATACCTCAGGAATTAAAGCCAAAATGATATTTGCCTCCACCAAAGACGCAGTGATTAAGAAGTTTGATGGAGTCGCCTGCACATTTCAGATTTCTGATGTGGATGACTTGAACTATGAAGACATGAAAAAGAAGGTTGAAAAGGCAAAGTAATGGATAGATGAACTGTCAATTGAGTGCTTGTCATATATCTGTCAGATTAACTCTTTACTTATTTTGTTTTATTTTTGAGTCATTAACAAGCTGAAAATTCAACTAACATAGACATAAGCACCACAAAGGAACCTAAAGATATATTGCCATAATTGTAGTTTGCACTGTTCTGCTCTAGTAATATGACAACTAGTTTTAACTAAGTAGGACATTAAACAATGCACATTGAGGTATATATTATAGGTATATGGCATGCACTCTAGCTAGTTTGGCTGCTATACCAACAATCATTGGCAAACTTTTGATATTTGATAATTGTAGAACTCATTTGAGAAAAGTTTTCATGTAACTGAAATAAAAGTGAATGGAATTCATGTTTTTTTGAAATGCACTTTGTAGATGAAACTTGGTAGATGTACTACATGCCAAAACCCCATTCGATTGTGTCTTTCCACACTCCATGCCTAATAGTCCACTTCGCGAATAATTCGAAATTTTACATTACGTCGTTATGGTAAATCATTGACATCACTGGAAAGAGCGTCATAAAATCAGCAAATTTGCCAAGTTTGAAAATAATCTGATTTAAACTCAAAGAGATACGGCACTTCAAAAACACTAAATTTTGCATAGAAATGTTTGGCGAAGTTGTAACAAGTCAAGGTCAACCTCGATCTCATGCCGACAGCCCATACATTTCTTTGTAAATTTTGCCGACTTTTAAACGCTGTATCTCCTTGAATTTGTCATCGAATCATGCTCAAACCTGGTAAACATACTAATTTTATACTGTTCTTTCCAGTGGTGGTAATAGTTTTTCGATATTTGCTCAATTTCTAATAGCTGTGTTATCCGCGAAGTGGACTATTTATGAAATGATAAAAACTAGTTTCGACCATCTCTCGAATCCACTTTCTTTCAGGGGCTTTAGCTAAAATAAACTCAAATAACCTGTGAAATAGTTAAGAATTGTTTCACAAAAAGAAAGAAAACGAATGCGCACGTTTACTATTTCCTAGAACGTCTAGCCAATTTATAGCACTTTTAGAGTGGTTCTCATTAACCCGTGAAATACACTTTAGCGTATTACACTTTATTACAGTTTGTTTCTTTTGTTTTCTATTATATTTCTTGGCTATTACACTTTAATACACTTTGATTATTACACTTTGTTTCACGGGTTAATGAGAACCACTCTAACTTTTCAAATCATTTTAGTTGTTCAATATTGATAAGATTTTAGCTCTGACTCATATTGAATATGTATTTTTAGTTTTTGAGATAATCGACATACGAAATGACGAGAGAGTGTATTTTCCAATGGCCTCCCATGAAACAGACAAAAAAGAGCTTTTCATGAATACTCCAGTTTCGAATTCATAGCGAAAAACCGCTGCTTTATTTGACAACAGATTCTCTTGCGCAAAGACCTGACCAAACACAAAAGAGAGCACGAGAAAATGTCGTTATTACATATTGACTTATGTGGGGAAGTTGCAATTGCCGCAGAACAATAGAAAGTTGCGCCTGCTTTTTGCGTGCATTCGTTCTTTTCTATCTCGAGCAATAGTTGGGGAGCCTAGCGCAGGAGCTCCGCTATAACATTTTCTATGTTCGGAATGGGCAAACAAATATTCGCCATTCCATAAATTAAAAATAAAACTTTTTGTAACATGACATTCTACAAAGAAATACTTCTCATTGGCATTTTGTTGACACTCTACTTTAATATTAATATCCCAGACATCAACGACGAGCTCTCTCTAAAATTAGAAGTTAAGGAAAAAGCCCACCCCGTCCAAATTTCGTACAAAAAACATAACGCTCTGTAGAAAAACTGCTTGTCTAACCTTTTTGCCTTATGGTCAAAACAGATAGAGACGGAACATCAAAGCACCAGAATACTGATGATATCCGCACTACATGACAAACAGCCCGGCGACACCCGGCCAACATCAAAGGGCGATTTCTTTGTTATGGTTTTGACAAGATCACGTGATCACGAGATTGCAAAACTCAGCTGAAACTGAGACTTTGAGATAACATGAAAGATACAAACTCGAGCACTTCTTCATAGCACAACCAGTTGTTGAAACAAACCAGACACTAACTGCTGCTTTCTAAGGAATGTCGCCTGGTCGCGAACTCGAAGAATCAAGACGAGGGGCCGTGCACTAAGCTCAGTCAATCGTGAAAAACCATTGTCCTTCCACGAATGCTGAGCTTTATGCACGGCGCCTCGTCTTGATTCATGCAATTTATGTATATGAGGAACGAAATAAACATAAATGGATATTTTGCCGGCATGGAACAGAAACCTGTAGGGAATTGAGTGCCGCAATGCACTCTGGGTAGAGGTATATAAGGAAGGTTGTAACGAATGTTAGCCATCTACGGTCAGTCAACGATCTATCGACTTTACGTTAGCGAATTTTTCGAGTTATACTCTACTAAAGTTATACGTATTTGCACATTATTTGTATTATTATCTTGCTATGCTTAGGATTAGGAACCTCTTACCTCATAGGTTGCTGTATTGCCTGGTGGGGGTACACGTTTCCTCCAATTTTTCCCCAAAGGGGTTTTTTGGCAGGTTTTGCGTGTCCCGCATACTGCTTAGTCTAATATAATCTTATGTGTAAGATAGGAGTTGATAAAGTGCCCGTTGCGTTCGACTGACCAACGTGCCCAAGTACTATCAGTGTGTTGTACGTTTATGTGTATTGGAGGGAAAATCTTTGCTTTGTCGTGTATCTGAGAGAACTGAGGCAAAATTCGCAAGTCCGCTATAATACGTATTCTATATTCCAGTGTAAAAATTACACAAATTATTTTTGTTGTTGTTATTTCATGGTTTGAGTGCGTTTACTCTGTATGACAGACGGGTTTAATTCACAGACAAATCATCGTGCTGTTTCGCACCGAGTGGTGCCTAAGGCCTCTATCGAGCTTCTCCACTTCTCTAAAAAAAAAGATAAATTTAACACTGCAAAAATGTAGGTGAAATATCTTATTGACCATTCAATACTTCGTCGGAGTAAAGGATGGAACTATAGGCTATGTGTGAGTTTATATGAGAGAAGCAACTGAAAGTAGACCAATAGGAGCAAGGTAGGCATGGTAACGGGAAATAAACAATTAAAGTAATCATCTCTTTCCGACGAAATGGTGGATACTAGCGGTAAACTAGTGTGAGCTGCGTCGGTCTTTCTAAAGAAACAGTTGTGTAAAAAAAGATACATTTAACACTGTAAAAAAGTAGGTGAAATAACTTACTGACGTTTCGGACGTTAATCCTTCGTCGGAGCAAAGAGATGGAACTTTACCTAGTACTTTT